CTTACTAGGTATCAAACTATGTACCTCACTAGGTGCAAGTTATTAATAAAATACAACTTACTAGGTATCAAACTATGTACCTCACTAGGTGCAAGTTATTAATAAAATACAACTTACTAGGTATCAAACTATGTACCTCACTAGGTGCAAGTTATTAATAAAATACAACTTACTAGGTATCAAACTATGTACCTCACTAGGTGCAAGTTATTAATAAAATACAACTTACTAGGTATCAAACTATGTACCTCACTAGGTGCAAGTTATTAATAAAATACAACTTACTAGGTATCAAACTATGTACCTCACTAGGTGCAAGTTATTAATAAAATACAACTTACTAGGTATCAAACTATGTACCTCACTAGGTGCAAGTTATTAATAAAATACAACTTACTAGGTATCAAACTATGTACCTCACTAGGTGCAAGTTATTAATAAAATACAACTTACTAGGTATCAAACTATGTACCTCACTAGGTGCAAGTTATTAATAAAATACAACTTACTAGGTATCAAACTATGTACCTCACTAGGTGCAAGTTATTAATAAAATACAACTTACTAGGTATCAAACTATGTACCTCACTAGGTGCAAGTTATTAATAAAATACAACTTACTAGGAATCTTACTAGGTATCAGACCATGCACCTCACTAGGTTACTAGACAAGTTATTCATAAAATACGACTTACCAGGTATCTTACTAGGTACCAGACTATGTACCTCACTAGGTGCAAGTTATTAATAAAATACAACTTACTAGGAATCTTACTAGGTATCAAACTATGTACCTCACTAGGTAACTAGACAAGTTATTAATAAAATGCAACTAACTAGATATGTAGATGTATTGAAAGAAAGAGTGAGAGCATCAATAAAAGTCAGCCATTTTGTAATGTTCCACCATCTTATATTCACCTGAGGTTCTCAATATGACCTTTCAAGATGATACTATTAATAATATCAATAATTCTTATAAAATGTGAAATTTTTTGTTTGCAACCTACATATAGCACGTCGCTTTTCATTTTTACTTGAAAATATTGTTTAGTCTGTTTAGTTTAATTTGTTGTCCTTTTATATGTAGCCAACGTAACTCAGTATTGTGTTTTTTGTATTTCAATCTTGCATTCGTATAGGATAATGAAGTTTGAAATACAACTTCAAGTTAAATGTTAAATATTAATATTTTTCTTGCTTATATTCGAAGATCGTAAATTTCATTTTGAAAAATTGTCTATTTCATAAGTTTTGAAAGTTTAAAGTTTATAATTTAAGTTACCATCCAATTACGAGTCATCAATCTTCCGATTAAGAAAATAACGCCGCAGAGATTCATCAGATGATTTTTGCGCCCGGTAAAACAAATTGCACGAAGGCGATGATTCAAGAAACCGTTGGCGCTAAGCATTCGTTCAGAAATTAATTAGCCGATCGAGAGTGATTCGATGCACAGATCAAAACAGGATCGATCGAGCAATATTTCATTCGCGTTCATTAACATCATCCTCTGGATAAAATTAATTTTCTCATCAGAATTTCACTCTCGGGTGTCTTCGCGAGCATCATTAAACAGTTTCATCGTAATTTATCATCGCGATGTTAATGAACTGCGAGTGCCGTGTTCGATTGATTAACCGTTCGCTAATGGCGTACAAATTTAAGTAGCAAATTGTCCAATTTGTGTCTCAATTTGCGGGTTGCGAAATGTGTCAGTGGGACAAAACGATCATAAGGTCGATCGGTTAATAAATCATCGAAATTTCGATTGATTGAAACGAAAGGGAAATTACGAGGATGACTGTATGAAGAGACCGAAAGAGCGATGACGATGGTGATTGTCATCGCAAGGTAAATCGGATGTTTGCGCACTTTCTGACCCCTGCCATGACCTGCTATGTTCTTGCGATGACACGATCACCCTAGGGCGATACTTGTAATACCGTCATCTGATAATATTGCAGGATTCACTTTCTTTAATATCTCCTTTTCAGGGTTCTTCGAATTCTCCAAAATATTACATTTTATTCTGCTATTTAATTTCTGACAGAATTTTTAATATTCTCGAAAATATTACATTTTATTCTGCTATTTAATTTCTGAGAGAATTTTAAAAATTTAAACTTTGAACATTTCCTGGCACAAGGTTGCAATCTAAAAATTTAAACTTTGAAAATTTCCTGGCACAAGGTTGCAATCTAAAAATTTAAACTTTGAAAATTTCCTGGCACAAGGTTGCAATCTAAAAATTTAAGCTTTGAAAATTTCCTGGCACAACAAGGTTGCAATGTAAAAATTTCCTAACACAAAAAATAGTAAATTAAAAATTTTTAATTTGAAAATTTCTCAACACATAAGGTAGCAAACTAAAAATTTCAAATTTTACAATTTCACACCGCAACAAGGTTGCAATCTAAACATTTAAACTTTGAAAATTTCCTAACACAAAAAATAGTAAATTAAAAATTTTAAATATGAAAATATCCTAATACAAAGAGTAGCAAACTAAAAATTTCAAATTTGACAATTTCCCATCACAAGGTAGCAAATTAAAAATTTAAAGCTAAAATATTTCCTAACCTTTAAAATACCAACTCCCAAGCTTAAATTTATAATTAAAGAAATTCTAAATATGCAAGATGACAAACCTTCAACCTGAAAATTTCCAAATTACAAAATTTGTTTCCAACAAATTAAAAGGTAGTAACTAAATGGCCCAAAACTTGTCTACCTCAAAAGATCCTAAAATCTCTAAATCCCTGAATTCCTAGATCCCTGAATCCCTAGATCCCTGAATCCCTAGATCCTCGAATCCCTATACCCCCAAACCCTTATACCCTCAAATTCCGAGATCCCCGAATCCCTATACTCCCAAATCCCTAGATCCCCGAATCTCTAGATCCCCGAATCCCTAGATCCCCAAATTCCCTAGATCCCCGAATCCCTAGATACCCGAATCCCTAGATCCGTAAATCCTCAAATCCCCAAATCCCTAAATCCCCAAATCCCTAAATCCCCAAATCCTTAAATCCCCAAATCCCTAAATCCCCAAATTCCCTAGATCCCCGAATCCCTAGATCCCCGAATCCCTAGATCCCCGAATCCCTAGATCCCCCAATCCCTAGATTCCCCAA